TTTTTACTGAATAGATCTTTTACTTCCTTTGTTATATTGATTCCTAGGTATTTTATTTTTTGGATACTACTATGAAAGGTTTGGTTTCTCTTATTTCCCTCTCAGCGAACTTGTTTTTTGTGTAGAGGAATGCTATTGATTTTTGAGTATTTACTTTGTATCCAGTTTATTATTGAATTTGGTTATTACATCTAGACGTGTTAGCCAGCAAGCACAAGGTCATGAGTTCAATCCCTGGTACAAAAAAAAGAAAAACAAAAAGAAAGTTCTAGACATCTTTCAATGGAATTTTGGGGTCTTCTATATACAGTATCATGTCATCTGCAAATAATGATAGTTTAACCCCTTCCTTACCTATCTTTACTCCTTTTTCTCTTGTCTAATTGCTCTGGCTAATATTTCCAGAACTATATTGAATAGCAGTGGTGATAATAAACATCCTTGTCTTGTCCTGATTTTAGAGTAAAAACTTTGAGCTTTTGACCCTTTAATATAAGGCTGGTTGTTGGTTTGTCATAGACGGCTTTTATCAGACTCAGATCAAGATTATCTATTCGAATTTTCCCTAGGGTTATTATCATGAATGATTGTTGGGCTTTATCAAAAGCTTTTTTGGCATCTATTGAGATGAACATATTATCCCTATCTTTGGCTCTACTGATACGATGTATTATGTTTACAGACTTACATATTTTGAGCCTTCCCTGCATTCTTGGTATGAATCCCACTTGGTTGTGGTACATATTCTTCTTGATGACCTGCTGCATTCTGTTTGCCATTATTTTATTGAGGATTTTATCATCTATATTTATTAGGGAGATTTGCCTGCAGTTTTTTCTTTTTTTTTCTTTTTTTTTTTTTTTTTTTTTTTTTGGTTCTTTCTCTTGTTTTGGTATTAGTGTAACACTTGTTTCCAGGGATGAGTTAAGGAGAATTGCTTCAATTTCATTTTCAGTGAATAGTTTGAAGAGTGTTGGAATTAAGTATTCCTTGAATTTCTTGTAGAATTCAGGTATGAATACATCAAGACCTGGGCTTTTCTTTTATGGCAAGGTTCTAATTACATTTCCATCTTCACTAACTGAAATTGGGTTATTCAGCATTTTTACAACCTTATGATTTAAATTTGCTAATTCATGTGTTTCTAGGAATCTGGTGATAATCTTCTGTTATCAAACCTATGAAAGTAGTTTTCCAAGTAAGTATTGATGATCTGTATTTCCACAGGGTCTGTAATGATTTCACCCTTTTTATTCCTTATTTCCTGAATTTGAGCTTTTGCTCCCCTTTTTAAAAATAATTTTAGCTAGTGGCTTATCAATTTTATTTATTCTATCAAAGAACCAATTGTTTGATTCATTAATTATTGGTATTATTTTCTTTGTCTCTACTGTGTTGATTTCCACTCTAATCTTTATCAGTTTCTCACCTTCTTTTGGCTCTGGGCTTGACTTGTTCCTTTTGTTGATGTTTGAGGTGTAGCATCCAGTTGTTTCTTTGTTTCTTCTATTTTCCTGGTGTAGAAGTTCACCACAATAAATTGTCTTATGAGGAATGTTTTCATTGCATCTCACAGGTTCTGGTAAGATATATTTGTATTTTAATTTACTGGTAGATATTGTTTAATTCCTTTAATTTATTCTTTGACCCATTGCTTGTGTATTGTTTAATTTGCATGTGTTTATGGAGTTTTTGCATTTTCTTTTGTCATTCATTTCCAGTTTTTTAGCACTGTGATTAGATAATACGCATGGGATAATTTCAATTCTTTTGCATTTATTTAAGTATGTTCTATGGTTTAGCATATGGTTTATTTTAGAGAATGTCGCACATGCAACTAAGAATATATATTCTGATGTTGCTGGGTAGAACACTAACACCCTACTAAGTCCATTTGTCCACACATTTGATTCAACTGTGTTCTTTTAACTAGACTTACTGTCTAGTTGATCCGTCTGTGTGTCAAAGGAGTGTTAATGTCTGCCATAATAATTGTTATTGTTTATTTGATTTTTCATTTCTATTAATATTTGTTTTACATACCTGAGGCTCTCCATATGCTAGGTGTGTACTTGTTGGATCTGAAGCACTCCCCATATGGCTCACCAAAGCTCCCTCACAGCTAAAGATCACTGGGCAGGGCCCTACCAGGTTCTGTGTTGTGTAGTATGTGGAGTATACTGGGCAGGCTATCATCTTATGCCAAATGGCACTCCCAAGTACCTTTGCTTCCTGGTATCTCTAGTAGTGGCTCTACTATGTTCTAAGAAAAGACCTGCTGCTGTATAGTTAGGTAGGGATTGCTGTAGCAGGCTTCAGCTCACACAGGGTAGCTCCTGACTACCTGGATGTCACTTGGTTGGGCCCAATCAGGACCCAAGTGATGACTTAAAGGTCCCACAGTGTTTGGGGATGAAGGGGGGGGGATACCAGGTTCCAGGCAGAGTTCGGTGGCTGCATAGCTAGGCAGGGATTGCTGTCAGCACCTGTAGTTGTGTCTCATCTTTCTCTCCCAGCATTCTATCAAAAATGCCACAGTACATTTAATTGTTCTGTCTCTTTGATTCACTTAGATGTGACTACATTCAGACTTTCCTGGCTGCTGATAATCTTCACAGCTGTGACAGACAATGCTCAGGTATTTTATAAAGTGGCCCTTGTTTTGGGTTTGTCTGTTTTGTCTCTCAGGACTGCACTGGGATCATAGGCTTCTGGAGGCCCCAGAAATTAAGTTCCCCTTCCTTACATAAGACCTGGTGTCATTCTATAGTTGCTGTTGATTGATGACATTAAGAGAAAAAGGTACAATGGGAGGCAAGAGTGGAGAGATGCTTTTTTCACATTGCAGTGTACATTAGTTTGAACATGTAATTATATGTCTATTACATGATTTTTATCTTCACAAATTATGATTCAATGTGTATGCTATAGTTTTCTTTTGTTTCAAAAATGTTTCAAAAAACAGATTGTTTTTATAAAGAATTATTTGCTATTAGATGCTGAGTCATGTTTTATTTCTTTTTTCTTTTTTATCAACGTATGTTTGCCACACAATGATGTTCACATTCACCTTGGGGAGTGGGAACACGTACATAACATAGCTGCTTTCTTTTTAGAAGCCCTTTCTTTTCCTATTCGCCTCCTTTCCTCCACCTCCAAATCCCTTTCTCCATTTGCATTCTTAACATTATTCTTAGATCATGTTTATATCTATATTTAGAAAGAATATCTTTGCATTCCCATCACACCAATAATTTCTATTCTATATCATTAATTGCAGTTTTGTTATCTTATATTGTTTTGTTTAATTTTATTATGTCATGGTACGGGAAGTTATTTTGAAGATAGCAAGATATATTATGGTAGCCATTGTTGATTTTCTCTTATCTTGTATTGAAGTCCTATATCACTTTCATTATTTTGTTTTGACTTTATTGTTTTGTTTTGTCTGATTCTGTTGTGTCTGATGGTATAGGGAGTCACTTTGAAGATAGCAAGAGACATTGTGGTGTCCATTGTTGATTTCTTATTGGCTTGTTTGGTATTGCTTTTTTTATTGGTTTTATCTTTTGTTTGGCTTGATTTTATTATGTCTGATGGTATGGACAGCTACTTTGATGATAACAAGAGGCATTATGGTAGCCATTGTTGATTTTCTTTTGTCTTGTTTTGAAGCATTATATCACATTCATTGTTTTGTTTTGACTTTATTGTTCTATTTTGTTTGGATTTATTTTCTTCAAAAAAGGATGAAGAAGGAGAAGGAGGAGAGGAAGAAAAAGAAGAACAAGAGGAAAAAGAGGAGGAAGAGACAGAAGAAGGAAGAAGAGGAGGAAGAGGAGGAGAAGGAAAAGGAGGAGAAGGAGAAGAAATAGGAAGAAACAACTAAAAACAGAGAGGCCAGGGCTACCCTTTGCTGGACACCCAAATGTTCCTTAGTGGAAACTGGCTCACAACTACAGAAAAATCTCCACTTATCTATTGTGATTCTCTCTCTCTCTCCTAGTGAACTAAAAATGTTCTCTAAGCTTTTCAGGCATTTATATTACCTCTTCTTTCTAGTTACATTTCAAACAAGCTCATAGGGAGTGGTTTTCATTTATGCCTTACATATGTTAACTAAGCAAAAAAAATTTTAGTCAGCCTTTCTTTTCTGTGTACATAAAAATTGATGTGCCATTATTAACATATAAAATATGATTGTAAATGATGAATTTATGTTTGATCTGAGCTTTAATAATATAAAAACTTAAACAAAGCATAGCCATATCCTGCTGCTAGGAAAGATTACCAGGGTAATTATACAAGGACACAAATGTCTCGGGTGCTGCTTTACCTTGGGGCCCAGAACAGTATCTCACTAAGTCATTATCTCAGGAGGGTTCTCCTTTACAGCATAGCCAGAGGAGTGCTCTAACTAATTCCCACTCACCTACTTTACATATGCTGATTTCCAATAAACAAAAAGCAATTGTTTATTATAAAGTTATGCTTCTTTCTTTAAACATTCCTGTCACAGTTTTATTTATGGAAACAAAGTTTACCAGCTACCTGGGAAGACAAGATTGTGTGCCAGATTAAGGGTGAACAGATTGGCTAATTTTTACCTTCTACTGTCTCTAGATGGCACCCATCTGCCCTAGAATGAAATCAACCTGAAGGACACCTTGAGGACACTATCAAAAAAAAAATAAGAAAGGGAAGTCCAATTATTTCTTTTGGCATAGATAGGTGGCTAAATGCCATAGTTTCATACCTTTTGGGATCACTGAAAGATGGTTAAATTCTTCCACTGGGTGCTTTTTATATTACAGACATGGGTCACTCAGTTTCATAGGCCGTGACTCATCCTTAAACACTGGGAGATATTTGACCCTAACATGTTAGGGGAAAAAAGAGCCATTATCCCCTAGAGACAAAATGGTATATAACTAGATGCATTCCTAGTTGTTCTTCTGTTAGGGCCAACGCCGCAGGGAAAGAGACCCCAAGGACTCAACTCTTGGTGAGGAAAAGAAAGTTTATTTCCATGCGCATGGGGTCCCTCAGGCAAACGTGTGCGGAGGGGCCCCGAGGGGAATTTGTGCAGGGTTTTTAAAGGTACAAGCAGGAGGTAAGCAAGGTTACAGAAGCAAATCGCATTGGTTAATTTTGAACGGCGCAGGACTTGGCTAACGCTGATTTGAGGGTCTGGGGCTGAGTAACCATGGAGACCGAGGGTCTTGGGTTGACCTTAGAGTGCCAGGTGCCCCCTGGTCCTGTTTATACAGTACATTCTTTTGCTTATCTCTATCTTTACAGAGAACAGAACATCTAGTGGTTAATGACTAGCAGAGACATTCCTTTCTGCCCTGCTCTGATTATCTCCTGGGAAAGGTTTAGGGAGTGAAGCATTCTTTACTGCTCTGTTTTATAACTCGGGGAGGGGGTTGTAGCAGGGGGGTCGACTCTCACATTCCCCCCTTTTATTTTTCCAATGACTTTTAATCCTAAAGGTCCTGTATAGGTAAGGGGTCATATTGTTGACGTAGCACCATAACTTTTACCTGAGAGATCTGAGCCCTCACAAATTGGGTTACTCGGTTAATGAGGCAAGGGGCTATAGCCATGACTATAATGAATCCGGCCAGGGGTCCCAGTAAAGGAAGAACATAGGGCAGGATTGATTCCCAGAAAGAAAACATTTTGGCTTCACTTGAAGGGGGCTCTCGAGATTTGATTCTCTCTCTCAACTTTTCCATTGCGTCTTTTACAATCCCAGTATGATCAGTGTAGAAACAACATTCTTCTCTAAGTGCGGCGCAGAGACCGCCTTCTTTTAAAAATAGAAGATCTAAGCCTCTTCTGTTCTGTAACACTACTTCAGATAGAGATGAGAGAGATTGTTGTAACGCAGTTATAGAAGTTTCTAAGGCCTGTAAATCTTGGTTTACTACTGCAAGAAGCTGTTGGCGGGATTGATGCCCAGTAATGAGGGCTGCTGTGCCAGTTCCTATCCCCCCTGCCACCCCTATCCCCAATAGGACTGCTAGGGTCAAGGAGACAGGTTCCCGTTTATATCGACCTTTTATGAGGGGGAGCATGTCAGGAGGGAGATACTTAATGCGTGGCATAAGGTCTATGAGGATGCAGGAGCTGTCCCCTGCAAGGAGTACATTTGTGGAAACACAAGGGGTGAGCCCCGTAGTACATAACCAGAATGCCCCGGTGGGAGGGATGAGGTACTGGTTTTTGGGGAAGGAGCGGGTATATGTGAGGCAGCGATGGCGTAGGTCTGTAGGCCAATTATCAAGTGTCCCTATACAGGTTCCTCGGCTAGCAAGGCCAGGTAAAGGAAGGGTGTGGAACACGTGATCCCAATCGCACTGGTCGGAATTGGGGGTCAGCGTATAGGAATCATTTAGAGCAGTCCCCTCATAATATGGAGGGTTAGCACTTAAACATAACCAACAAGCTTGGGCCAGGTCTGGATGGGTAAGATTAAGGGCTCTATGAGCCCCAAGTATAAGGTTAAGGAGAGAGTTCACAGTTGGAGGGACGAGTCCCGACTCAGGAGGATTAGTTAAATCCCCGGAGGGGGTGCGAGGTGAGGTCATGTGTTCTCGATTTTGGGTAGCCTTGGGCCCCGGGGATAAAAATCTTTTAGCAGTTGTTGGGGCCAGTGGTGGCGGGGACGGCCTTGTTTCCGGTTTTAATTCTTTTTTGATAAACAAATATCCCCCTGAGTCTTTTCCACTTTGATAATATCTAAACCGCCAAGTTTTTCCGGTGATCCATGAAGGCTCTTGGGGGGTAAGGACCGTGAGTTGTAGGTTTAGGCAGGGTCCAGGTCCCTGGCTTGACTTGGCATCCCAAGCCCCACCATAACAAGTGGGGGGCTTTGGGCGAGCTCCAGTCAACTTTGAAAGACTAATGTGTTGGTCCCTTATGGTGGGTGTCCACGCAGTGGCCACCGTCTCACATCCCCAGTAAGCACAGTAATACTCTGCTGGGGAGTTACAATGGGTCCTCCCCTCCACTGAAGTTGGGCATAGGTAAACACCCTGAGATGGATCCATACAGGGGGCTTGAGGGACAATATCGCAGGAAAAGAAGGCAAAAGTGGGATTACCTGATCCTTCCCACTTACCGACCACCTCTTGGTTGTCCCACTTAATCAATGACCAGATCCAAGGGCGGTGGGGGTTAGCTATTGCAGGGGTGACTAGCATTAACATGAGTAATCCCATTATAGCCCAGGGGGTTACAATCTGGGGTCTTTGTTGGATCATCTTGCAATAATACACAAGGGGAGCGTATAGAAACAGCATTAAAGAGTCTTTCGGCTCAGTTTAAGTTTTAAGGGGTTATCAGACCGCTTGAGTTCCCAGGAGCTGTCCTCTGGCGCTGAAGCAGGCTTTAGATGCGACGCGTGGATCCAAGAGGTGACTCCGTCAACCTTTACCGCTGTAGGAGTAGTCAATAGGACCTGGTATGGTCCTTTCCAGCGAGGCTGTAGAGTCTCTTGTTGGTGGCGCTGGACAAACACAAAGTCTCCCACCTGGTACGGATGTGGCGCGGGGAACTCACTGGGAGCATAGGCTGAGGCTAGCTGCGTCCACACGTCCCTCTGTAGATTGTCAAGGGCGATGAGCCTGTCAGACAGGGAGGTTGGCAACAAGGCAGCATGCTCAGTTAAGGGAGTGAGATCTCGAATGGGGGGTGGAGTGCCAAAAAGGATTTCGAAGGGAGTAAGGTTAGGGGGTTTGGTAGACGGGGTGTTTCGCGCGCGAAAAAGGGCATACGGCAGGAGCATCGTCCAATCTTTTAAGCCAGTCTCATGAGCCAATTTAGTGAGGGTCTCCTTAATAGTTCTATTCATTCTTTCTACCTGTCCTGAACTTTGGGGTCTATAAGCACAATGTAACTTCCAATCAATCCCCAATATGTTGGCCAGTCCCTGACTTACCTTAGCCACAAACGCCGGTCCATTATCAGACCCTATTACCTTTGGCAATCCGAACCGGGGAAATATCTCTTCCATCAACTTTTTAGTTACCACGGCAGCAGTTTCTTTTTTGGTAGGAAAAGCCTCAGTCCATCCAGAAAAGGTGTCTACAAAAACTAGCAGATATTTTAGTCTGCATCGGGCAGGCTTAACTTCTGTAAAGTCCACTTCCCAGTATTGTCCAGGTCTGGTGCCACGTAGCCTTTTGCCGGGGGCCAGCTTGGCAGGGTAGGCATTGGTCAATTGACATGCCTCACAATTAGCCACCACCTGATTGGCGACCTGACGTATGGCAGTGGGGGATGCCCCTGGGAAGTCTTGGCGTTGGGCCAGTAGGCTTAGCTTTTTAGCTCCCAAATGGGTGAGCTGGTGGGCCTGTTGTATGTAAGCAGTCAAATCAAGTGTTTCAGGGGTTTGGTTAATCTGAGCTTTCTCCTCTGGAGGAGAATCTTTGACATCAGTCACCAACATTTGTGAGTCTCCCATGGCTGCAGATTTTGCTGCCTGATCGGCCAGGTTGTTTCCCCTTGTGACGGTATCAGTCCCTTTCTGGTGGCTGTTACAGTGTATTATCGCCACCTTCTGGGGCAACATAACTGCAGCGAGCAACTGGAGGATTTCCTGTTTGTGTTTTATTTCTTTTCCTGCGGAAGTCAGAAGCCCCCGCTGGCGGTATATGGCCCCGTGGATGTGGGCCGTTGCAAAGGCATATCAGCTATCCGTGTAAATGTTTGCTCGCTTTCCTTTAGCGAGCTCCAGAGCCTTAGTCAAAGCAATCAGTTCGGCCTTTTGGGCCAAGGACCCGTCCTCTAGTCTGGCTGTCCATATAACATTGGAATAATCAGTCACAGCCGCCCCCGCATACCGCTTACCTTGAATCAAAAAGCTACTCCCGTCAGTGAAGTAGGTCACCTCTGCATTGGGTAGGGGGCAATCCAATAAGTCCGGTCGTACTCCGGCCTCTTCTGCCAAGCCGTCCTGGCAGGTATGGAGGACAGGTTCCGAAGCTTCTTCCGGCAGCAGAGTCGCCGGGTTGAGAGTCACCGGGGGTCCAAAAGTTATCTTGTCCTTGTTGAGCAAGAGGCTCTGATAATGAGTAACTCTGGCATTTGAGAGCCACCTGTCTGGAGGCTGGCGGATGATGCTTTCTAGCATGTGCGGGGCAATGATTGTTATTTTTTGTCCCAAAGTCAATTTGTCAGCGTCTTTAATGAGCAAGGCAGCTGCTGCAATGGCCTTTAGGCAAGGTGGCCACCCGCTTGCCACCGTGTCCAGTCTTTTTGAGAGGTAAGCCACCGGACGCCTCCATGGCCCAAAGGCCTGGGTCAGTACTCCTCTCGCTATTCCTCTCTTTTCTTCAATGAAGAGAGTAAAGGGCTTATCCACATTAGGAAGAGCCAGGGCCGGAGTGGACAGGAGAGCCCGCTTGATGGCATCAAAGGCCTGCTGGTGATCTTTTTCCCAGATAAAGGGAGACCCCCCCTTCAGTAACGGATACAGGGGAGCTGCCAAAGTTGCGAATCCGGGGATCCACAACCGGCAAAACCCCGCAGTACCCAGGAACTCTCGTAATTGTTTTTGACTCTTTGGAGGGGGAATCTGGACCACAGTCTGTTTTCTGGCCTCAGTGAGCCACCTTTTTCCCCCTTTTAAGGAGTAGCCCAGAAAAATTACCTCTCGCTTACAAATTTGAGCCTTTTTTGCTGATGCCCTATACCCCAGGATAGCCAACTCACGTAAAAGGTCCTGAGTTCCGCTTGTGCAGTCACCCTCAGAGTCCGCAGCCAGCAGCAAGTCATCTACATATTGAAGAAGGGTGAGGCTTGGGTGTTGAGCCCGAAAGGGGGCTAAATCCTTATGTAGGGCTTCATCAAAGATGGTTGGGCTGTTTTTGAAGCCCTGTGGGAGGCGCGTCCAGGTTAGTTGTCCGGCGGACCCAGTCTCAGGGTCCGTCCATTCAAATGCAAATAAGGGCTGGCTATCTTTGTGTAAAGGCAAACAGAAAAAGGCATCCTTTAAATCCAGAACAGTGTACCAAGTCCTTGACGGATTTAACCCGCTGAGGAGATTATAGGGATTGGGTACGGTGGGGTGAATGTCTTCTACCCTGCTATTGACCTCCCTTAGGTCCTGTACCGGTCTGTAGTCATTCGTCCCGGGCTTTCTGACCGGGAGTGATGGAGTATTCCATGCAGACCGACAAGGGGTTAATACCCCTTGGTCTAAAAGTCTCTGTATGTGCACCTTAATCCCTAGGTGAGCTTCTCTATTAATGGGATATTGCTTAACCCAAATAGGGGAGGCAGTGGTTTTTAAAGTAACCACTACAGGCGGCTGCTGGCTTGCCAGCCCGAGTCCAGCCGTCTCGGCCCAGGATTCTTTAAAATCAGTTAGCCAGGCTGGGGCGATAGGCTGGGGATCCTGGTGGTCGTAGAGCCTATATTCATCTTCCAGTTTTAGGGATAACACCGTAACCATAGGTTGCCCAACCTTTGGGTTACGGAATGTCACTTGAGGTCCTTGGGGCTCAAAGGAAATCTTTGCCCCCAGTTTGGTTAATAAGTCCCGTCCCAGGAGGGGAGCAGGACATTCGGGAATAACTAGAAAGGAGTGTTTTACTTTTCCCTTGCCTAAGTCAACTGTGCGCTCAGTGGTCCACGAGCGATATTTGCTCCCATTAGCCCCTTGAACTAATGATTTCTTAGTTGAAAGGGCCCCTAAGGGGGCTTGTAAGGCCGAATAAACAGCTCCCGTATCGACCTCGAATTCCACGGGAGTCCCCTCCACTTTAAACATTACCCTGAGCTCGGGGAGGGGATCCGAGCCCCGAAGTCCCTAGTGTTCTTCATCCAGGGCGAGCATGGGGGCTCGGGATCGCTGTGAGGACTGCCTTTCTCGTTCTTCTTTGGCCCGTTTCTTTTTTAACTTTTCACAGTCTTTGATCAGGTGTCCTTTTTCCTTACAATATGCACATTGGTCAGGGTCTAATGGAGGGCGAGTGGGCTTTCCCTTTCCTGGCTCAGGTTTTCCCTGAATAACTGTGGCCAACATCTTAGTTAATTCCTTGTTTCGTCTTTTGTCCCTAGCTAACTCTTTCTCTTCCTCTGTCTCCCGCTTATAGTAGACTTTTTCAGCTTCCTTAACAAGATCCCTCAGAGTCAGGTCTTGGAGACCATCTAGCCTTTGGAGCTTACGTCTTATATCAGGGGCCGATTGCCCTATGAAGGCCATAGCTATCGAGCCTTGTCGGCCTTCCTCCTCAGGGTTAAAAGGCGTATATCGCCGGTAAGCTTCCATCAGGCGTTCTAGAAAAACTGAGGGAGTCTCAGTAGGTCCTTGGGTAACTTCTCTTACCTTGGCCAGATTAGTGGGGCGCCTTGCGGCCGCCCGGAGACCTGCCATTAGAGTCTGGCGATAGATAGAAAGATGCTGCCTACCGGCGGGTGAGTTGGAGTCCCAGTTGGGGCGCTTTAAGGGGAAGAAGTCATCGATCCGGTCTGGTCTCTGGGTGGGTCTGCCATCCTCTCCGGGAACAGCTTTCCGGGCTTCCAGGAGGATGCGGTCTCTTTCCTCGGTGGTGAACAGGACCCCTAGGAGCTGTTGACAGTCGTCCCATGTGGGTTGGTGGGAGAACATAACAGAATCCATTAGACCTGTTAGCTTAGAAGGATCATCAGAAAAAGGAGGGTTATTGTTTTTCCAGTTATAGAGATCTGAGGTAGAAAAAGGCCAGTACTGTAAAGCGGGCATCTGCCCTCCATCTGTCCCATCGTCTATCATGGGCCCATAGGGACGGAGAGGGAGGGTAACGACTGGATCCTCAGGCCGTAGCTTGCTCCGAGTGTTCTGGGCTGGGCCCGTGGGCCCCGGAGGTGTGGGCTCGGGGCAAGCCATCGCAGGGAGTGGGGGATATAGAGGGGACGGGGGTATCGGAGGAGAAGGGGAATTTAGCTCAGGTGAAGAGGGGGCTGACGGAGAAGCAGCACTCGATCCGGACGAGGAGGCTGGAGGAGAGAGTGGGTACGGAGGAGGTTGAGTCAGCTGGGAAGGAGGAGGCTGGTCATAGTCGAGTAAGGGTAGATCAGGCTGAGACTCGGGCAGGACCGGAGCCGAAGTGGGAGGTCCTTTCAGAGCTAAAAGCTTTGGTACAGATGAGTCAGAAGGGGGAAGAAAGGATTTTACCCATAATGGGGGTTCCTCCCTGAGGCCCTGCCATACCAGGATGTAAGCGACCTGATCAGGGTGCCCCCTTTGTCCGGGGCGGAAGATGACGTCCTTAACTGCTAGAATGAGGGGCAGATGAAAAGTCCCCTCTGGTGGCCATCCCACAGAGAAAGCAGGCCACTCAGTCGAGCAGAAATCCTGCCACTTACTCTTCTTGACCTGCAAGGAGAGATCGTGAGCCCTCTTCCGCACCTCCGACCAATGGTAGAGGGTGAGGGACAATGGGGATGAGGTCGACTGTCCCATGATGTTCTATTGTCACAGGGTGGTTAACGCAAGCGCGGTACAACAAATAACCAAACACAGCACCCACGACACACAAGACAATCAGGCCGGCCACTTCATTCACATGCATACGCATCAGTTTCACTCCAAATGAGACACCTTACAGGGTGTCTCCAGATTGGCCCGGGCGGACCACAGACTGGGAATCGAAATCCCCCAGATGAGTCACCTCAAAGGGTGTCTCCAAATTGGCCCAGACGGACCACAGATTGGGAATCGAAATTCCCCAGATCGATAGGGAGGCCCTATCGCAGACGGTGAACCACGGAAACCGTGTGGGGCGTCCCCCAGTCACCAGGGAACAGAGTACGAAACAGATAACAAAAATTGCCCCTAGATCGGAGCCGTATGGCTTGGGGCGTAAACACCGGTGGTATGAAAAGCGACCAGTCGTACTCACCCGCAGAGCCGTTGGGGTCACCTCCCGTGAGACGTGCTTATCTCGCTGGGGCCTCCACGATGTTAGGGCCAACGCCGCAGGGAAAGAGACCCCAAGGACTCAACTCTTGGTGAGGAAAAGAAAGTTTATTTCCATGTGCATGGGGTCCCTCAGGCAAACGTGTGCGGAGGGGCCCCGAGGGGAATTTGTGCAGGGTTTTTAAAGGTACAAGCAGGAGGTAAGCAAGGTTACAGAAGCAAATCGCATTGGTTAATTTTGAACGGCGCAGGACTTGGCTAACGCTGATTTGAGGGTCTGGGGCTGAGTAACCATGGAGACCGAGGGTCTTGGGTTGACCTTAGAGTGCCAGGTGCCCCCTGGTCCTGTTTATACAGTACATTCTTTTGCTTATCTCTATCTTTACAGAGAACAGAACATCTAGTGGTTAATGACTAGCAGAGACATTCCTTTCTGCCCTGCTCTGATTATCTCCTGGGAAAGGTTTAGGGAGTGAAGCATTCTTTACTGCTCTGTTTTATAACTCGGGGAGGGGGTTGTAGCAGGGGGGTCGACTCTCACACTTCACACAAAGATAAGATGAAACATGCTGAAAATGGTGGCAAAAGTTTATTTGAAAAGTGCCAGGTGAAAGGGTAGGGGAACACCACAGAGCAAAATTTGTGTCTCCATTTCTTTCTTCTTCTTGACAGATCCCTCAAGGTGTGTGAGCAGCAATCTGGGCACCAGGATTAGGAGATTTGAGTTTCAGTTCCGCATTGCCATTAGCATCCTGGGTATCACTAGGAACTTCACTTTCATCGATAGGTTGAAGTGTCTTTTAAACTTAATTTGCAGCTGCACCCCTTGTGTTACAGTGATCACTTACATGGGAGTCAGGCTTTAAAACAAAATAGGTGTCAGGGACATTGCTGCAAAAAGTGGTTCTGGGGGAGAACAGTGTCTGTGTGACTTGGGCACATCTGCCTGCCACCTGGGGGGATGCCTCAGGTCACAGCCTGGACACTTTTTGGTGAACTGTAGGAAAACTAAGGTCATCTTGAATTTCATAAGAAAGCTGTCAGCCCCTACTTGGAGCTGTGGCCATGTGAAATGCTGCCATGCTGCCTGGAAAATGGGCCAGCCTTATGCACAGTCCCTCCCAATACCTGTGATCACACCTCTGCCAGAAGCAACACTGTTCTCCTTGCCCCACCCTTTGCATCAATGCACTTACTTAACTTCTTAATGGCCCACTTAACCCACTTCCCTTTATGACAGGGAATGAAAGAGCACACCTGCTTTGCAAGACCTCATCATGACCCTGTGTCAGCAGCTGGTGTCCATTCCCTTCCGGTTTGTGAGCTTTACTTTTTGCCTGCTATCTCCTCTCCACTTTCCCCTTCCCAAAGGGCTGCACCCTCTGCAATCTCTTCTCTCTTCTGGCAGCCTATTTTCTAGAGCCATGTGTCCACCCTGGGGATTGGTATGGGGAGCCCATAGGGAGGCTTCTCTGTGAGGTCTGCAGAGGTAGGAGGTTATAGGAGTGAGATGGCTCAGGCCACTCGTGGGAAATTTTAATTGGAAGCAGAATTTCCACCTCTTACTTTTCTCCATCCACAGAGTTAGAATACCACCAGGGCCCTGAGACTCCTTGATGAGTTCAAGTGAGTGTCTCCTACTGGGGTAGCCATGCCTAGGCTGAGGGGTCAGGGCAGGCCAATGCCTGTGAGTCTGTTTCCCATTCAGCCACTTGCACCCTGACCCAGTGTCTCCATCCCTAGGAATTTCTATTGGACCCAGATCCAAAGTTTCAAACTGAGGTACCAAAGATTGGGGTCAGAAGTGGAGAGAGGGGAAGATACCAGACAGATGACAGATGTGCCTGAGGTGACCAGCTCCTCCTGTGTTTTTGGTATGTAAGTTCAAGGACAAGGAGCTTGGCAGGAAAGTCCAGGAAGCTTGGAAGAATTAAAGATATGGATGGGGAGTGAGCACAAGGGTGACCCAGAGGAGGGTCTGATGGCTATGCTGTGGCTGTGATTTACACTGCCCCAAGGAGCAAGGTAGAATCAAGACATGGTGGTAAAGGGAAAGGAGTCTATGCCAGGAGATGGCAATCTTGTCATTTCTCTGAGCCCCAGTGTCCCCATTTACAAGCAGGTGTACTGGGTGGGAGATGTGCCCACTGCTAACCTCCACCCAGGATCCATACAGCAATGTGGCTTCAAGCCTGGCCATCACCTGTGTAAGAGGAATCATTAATGAGGAAGCCAAGGTTCAAGCAAGGGCTGAGCACTGAGGATCTTGTTCGGGGACCAGTGGCCCAGACCTTTATTGCTGCCTCCTTTCTCACCTATGGCCCCAGTTCTGAAACCCTGAGTTGGGCTGAGGAGAAGGAGCAGCTGTTGTCTGAGTTTCAGAGACAGCAAGTGCTGGAGTGCACCTTAGGGCAGTTTAATGTACAGGTGGAGCAAAACACAATCTGGGTCAGAGGAACCTGGGGTAGGAAGAAGAGCATTGGCATCTACAGTACAAGCCAGAGCTGTGGAACAGTCAGAGGAGGACAGCCATATCCTGCAGTGCATCCAGAGCGTGTACAATACTATCAGTAGCTTACTCCTGCAGAACTTTTGAGCTCATGAAGCAGCTGAGTCAAATAAAGGACAGCTTCCTAAGGCTGGTGTGTGGCCACTGCTCACTGTATTCCTGTCAGGTCCTGCAGGGCAGAGCAACACACTCACCTCTGTGAGTGAGCCTACAATACAATAAGCAACTCTAGTTCTCAGTTTTAAAGGTGAGCAAGGACCCTACTGGGCCATTTCCTGTGCATATGGAATGATTCTCCATCATCCCTTGTGCTACAGACACCCTGATAGGGGGCTTGGGTTTGCCTGTACTAATGGTACTGATTACCATTCTCCAAAGAGTGAAAACAACATCACCACTACCTGCACCCTGCTCTCAGAGCAGCTGGCATAGAAAGAGATGAGCAGATGCAGGAGAAGCTATCAGAACCCAAGGCACCTCTATCCAGCCAAGTCCTATAGGGCAGGAGTTACCACCCATGGGGAGGGGAGGTGCTGGGACTAGGACTTATCTCCCACAGCTGGAGGACAAGTGACCCCAAAATCCTGCAGTATTTGCTAGAGCAGTTCTGTGAGTGTTGATAGCTCCAGGCCGCTGACTGTTAGAGGTGGGTAGCCTTGGGCTGCTCCCAGGTCCCGTCATCTCCCTGCTAGATTCCTGAGCCCTAATCCTAGGAGGACACAGGATTGAATGGGAGGTTCCTAAGCTTCACACTGGACTAGATCTCAGCTGCACTGGTCAAGGATTTAGTACTTTCCATCACAAAGTCTCAGTTCTCATCAGTTCAAAAAGATTACCATTTTCTTCATACAGTTCTTGGATTAAGTGAGATCATCTGTGTAAAGGATTGGACGCTAGCAGAGTGTACCTAACACATGTGAGCTGGTTCCATCTAATTCTCCACAGCTGTGGTGTGAAGTCCAAGTGTTTGCAAGGGAGTTTTGAAGGCTTGAGTCTAGGGGCAGAAGGCTAGAGTTTCTGAGTATCCTCCAATGAATTCATGAGCTCAGCCTGTTGATGCACCAGCTTACTCATCCTCATTTCTGGGTCTTCTGCAGTTGGTGGTGAGGAGCTTGGAGGCTCTGCATCTATAGCAATAGAGACACCAGTTCCTGGGCATCCTGTGCCAGTGTGGTGAGGCCTGGCCACTTCTGGCCTCTGAGAAGGCGGCCTTTTCACTTCACACACCTTATGATACAATGGGAGCACAGAGAAATGGAGGAGAAGGACATGGAAAATTCCTGCCAGAAGCTGCAGAAGATTCAGGAGATGGAGCTGCTGAGTAGGGCCTCTGCCTGGGAGGTTCTGCATGCCTCTGGTGTGTCATTTTCCACTCTCATTGTAGGAAGTCCTGGCAGCCTCCAGGCTGCAGAATCAGCAGTTGATCCCACTGAGAGTGTTGGCCTGCCCCAGAAGGTAAACGGAGATACCCACGCAATTGGCTGAGGCTCTGAAAACACAGTTGAAAGGACATCAACATGTACACCAGATAAGTAAAAATGTGAACCTTTGCAGCACAATGCTTAAACTAAACCAGCCAGGAGGGTTCAAATCAAATTTTCCCAAGAAGTATCGAGTTGCACATCCACAGTGCTGTGAATTCACAATCTGCACTGCACATGTAGAAACAGCCAGCAGGACAAGCATATGGAGGTTTTGCTTGCAGACATTAAGGTTTGAAAGGACTCAGCTAATTGCGTGAGAAAGCACAAAGACTCTACTCTCAGATGCCCTCCAATGCTACATATACAGCCACAACTCAGTGGCTCCTCTGCCCCCTGCTCCTGCACAACATTCAAGTACAAGTCCTCATCTTCACTACGATTCCTAAAGCTCCGGGTGGCACAAATGCCAAAAGTCTCTGCCAGGTTCACGGGCAAAGAATCCGAACGTTCACTCTGTGTTTGTAACAGCTGTGAGTCTACATATTACATCTCATTCATCCATAAGGCACAGAGGAAGCGCCATTAAAGCAGAGGTTGTGAGGAGGGGCTTGGCTTCCTTGTCTGGGAACAGCCAGATGCAGGCATCACTCCTCTAAAGCCCATACAGAGGCAGGTGATTTCAGACCCAGGATGCCTGGACTCCAGTGTTGCTCTAACAACTCCAGTGTTGCTCAACCTAACAACTCCTGGTTCCTGAACACACAGGCTAGGATGCTCCTTGCCACCCTTCTGCCAGTGCCCACTCCAGGGCCACAGTGGGAGCAGATGGACTGCTCACAGGGCGTTAGTTCATGGAGAAGGGGTGGCTTCCTTCACGGCCAATCACCCCGCCTGCCACCGGCTGCAAGGCCCTCAAGCCCCTACCGCGGGTGGCAGCTGCTCTTGTCCTCCAGCGGTGCTGGCGTCTGGAGGCCGCTCAGGGCCGCGCGGGCTCCAAGAACAAGGGGCCCGGACCCGGGGCGCAGGGCGCACTCACCTGGACCGCGCGCCGGGAACGGCTGGGCGGGCGAAAACATTCAGCCCCTCTGGGGCCTGGGAGGCCTCGGGGGCGCTGGGCTGGCGCAGCACGCGCGGATGCCCCTGTAGGCGGCGCACGCGAAAGCGGCGACGCGTCCCTGCAGGTCCCTCCTGCCCCGGGGACTCAGTTCGTCGCCCCCTTCCCTCCTCCGGACGCTGTGTGGGTTCGCGAGGTGGCGGCGGGGCGCGGGGATGGCCTGTCAGGACGTCGCTCAGGGCTGCTGCTGGCGTGGCCTAGGGCGGCAGCAGCGCTGGCTCCGAGGGCCGTGGTGCTGAGGTGAGGGGCTGCCTCCGCCACCTTGTGGCTCTGAGAACTGGTCTGGGCCCCGCCCCCTGTGGGGCTCCACCGCGGAGTGGCCCAGGCCGTGGCACGTGACTACCACTGTATCTGCACACTGGAGGGCACACTGGCCAATCAGCTCTCTGCGCTCAATTTCAACCCCCTCTAGTACATGCCTTCAGGGCCCATTGGTTCCTCCCGGGCATACCAAGCTTCCTCCTGCCTCCCTTAAGCCCATAGGCTCAGACGTTCCCAGGACTTGTTGAGGCCCACGCAGCTGCCAGTCCTTATCTCCATTCTTGGGAAAGGAGTCGGTCTGGGCCCTAGCGCTCCTTTGGGGTGTGTGCGGGGCTACATGGTGTCCTCCCTTGTGGCCTCCTGCCCTGCTGTTTCTGGCTTCTGTGGCTCCATTTTAGCGCACTACTCAAGGGGCTTCCCAATCAAGTCTGCACATATGCCATGTTTTCCTGTCCAGGGCTCCGCGGTGCCAGGCCGTTCTTTATACTGGATTTTTGCCCAAAGTCCATGACCCTTTGCAGCAGCTCCCACAGCATAAGTGTGCACACCATTGCACCTCTCTGTCGTGCGTGCACGTCATCTGCCTACCAGGGCAGGGGCAGAAAGACTCAGTCTCACCAGGCATCTCCCAGCCCGCCTCTATGTGTGGCAGCTTCAGGCAGTACCATGCACCAGCCAAACAGCCTTCCCTGAGAAACACTCATCCATGGAGATAACTTTGCCTGGCAGTGCAAACATGCCAGCCAATACCAAGTGCATGCCTGGGCTTTTGCACTGTAACCTCCATTCAGCTGTTTATTGTATTTTTTTTAACATTTTATTTAAAGGAAAATAAAAACCAAAACAGTATAAGGGTACAAGTAATACAGAATTTCCAAAAAAAAAAAAAAAAAAAAAAAGCACTAAGAAATCACTAGTTAATAGTTCAAAGGAACTCTCCTGCACTGTTGGTAGGAGTGTAGACTGGTGCAACCATTGTGAAGATCAGTTTGGAGATTTCAAAAAAATCTGAGATTGGAAGTCCCATTTTTTCTTTTTTAAAATTTTATTTAAAGAAAAAAAAGCAAAACAAAAGAGTAAATGGGTACAAGTAAGATAGAATTTCAAAAAAATAAACAGTAAGAAATCACTAGTTAATAAACTACATATTGTCATCTTAGAATTACTTGTTCAAGTTACAAATTTAAGCATACAAAGTGAACATTCAAACAGAGCCTGCAAACAGTTCTGTTCAATGATCCAACAAAAACTTAGTAATATGGTCATCTATCATACACACCTAAACACACTTGCAGTTGTGTCCTTTAGAGTACTTTCTTTTCCTCTCTTTTTTACAATAACATTTACACATTTGGGGTTTTATTACTCCCATAGTTCTTAATAATTTTTTTTGGAGGAGAATAAAACCAAATATGACAAAACAAAGCAGTCAGTCAAATCAAAGGATGGACAATCAAAAATGATGGGTAATCAACAATGGTTAACATAATGCCTCTTGCTACCTTAAAAAGAACTGCCTACATCATCGGATATAATAAAATTAAACAAAACCGTAAGGAACAAAACCAATAAAACATAAACATTGGAGACATTACTGAACTTCAAAAGAAGATAATAGTCAAACCAGAATGGGTATAATACTGAATCTTATTTCCTTCAAAGTAGTTGCCTATACCCTCAAACTTGATACTATCAAATAGAACAGAATAGAGTAAAATCAGTCAAAAGAAGATGGTGAGAGCAATACAGGGCTTGAAATCAAGTTAATAGGAAATTAAAAAGTTACTATAATATATCCTGCTAATTTTTAAAATTTTTTCCTTAATTAAAAAAAGATACAAAATAAATAAATTTTTAAAAGGGGGGATATTGAGATAAAAGAGGACATAACAACATAACAATACAGGTCAGAACAGAACAATTTAGGCAGCATAGTGTTTCACCACAAGATAACTCGACTTACTGGTAGTTACCATAGTGTCTCTTCCCTTGAAGTATTTGAGTATAACTTTGTATACTATAGCATCAAACATATTAAGACAGTGTGAAACCATTCAAGAGGATGAAAGTATTACTATTATTTAGAACCAGCTAATAGAAAGCGAACAATGGTTTCTATATTATCTCTTTGGCTATAAAATTTTTGTTTATACTATCACATATAATAAAATCCAATAAGATGCAACATGATAAAAGCAATGGAGACAGAAGAACAACAGATTAATGGGACTTAAAACAAGATGATATTAAATCAACACTAGCTATTATGATGTCTTATTTTCTTCAAAATAGCTGTTCATATCATCACAGAAAATAATATCAAACAGCCCAGAAAAAAACATTCCAATTAATGGATGAAAACTTTATAGGGCTTCAAAGCCATATAGTGGGGAATCATGATTACCATATACTTTTATGTATTTGTATCATATCATACACTAGGGAAACTAGTCGGTATTCATACATGTGAGTTTGATTTATTTCACCTATGAGGATAGTCTCAAGCTGCACCCATTTATTTATAACTATCTCAAGGTGATCATTCTTTATAGCTGAGTAGTACTCCATTGTTTAAAAATACCACATCTTTTTTATCCATTCCTCAGTTTATGGACATTTAGGTTGTTTCCAAGATCTGGCTATTACAAATTGTGCTGCTATGAACATGGGTGCAGATATATCAATGTAGTATGATATTTTCAGTTCCTCTGGGAATATACCTAGAAGTGGAATAGCTGGAAAAAATAGGACTTCCAATCCTAACATTTTGAGAAATCTCCAGACTGACTACCACACAGGTTTCACCAGTCTACACTCTCACCAACACTGCAGGAAAGTTCCTTTTTCCCCATAGCCACACCAGCATTTGTTGTTGGTGGTTTTCTTGATCCTGGCCATTCTTTGAGGAGTGAGATGGAATCTCAGTGTGGTTTTAATTTGAATTTCTCAAATGAGTGATGATGATTAACATTTTTTCATGTATTTATTTGCCATTTGTATTTCTTCATCTGAGAACTATGTATTCATCTCAGATGCCCAGTTTTGGATTAGATCTTTGAATTTTGGGTGTCTGATTTTTTTAAAATTCTTTATATGTTTTACACAGAAGTCCATTGTCTGAGGGAGAGTTCACTAAGATTTTGTTCCAAGGTTTTGGGTTTTCTTTTCACTATGCTGGAGATTTCTTTTTACATGCTGAAACTTTTTAATAAGAGGTGATCCCAGTTATTGATCCTGGAAGTATTTCCCGTGCAGTTTGAGTCCTGTTCATGAATTCTCTACCCCTTGTGTCTTCCAGGTTTTTACCCAATTTTTCTTCCAGTAGGCTTACTGTTTCTGTTTTACTATTCAGATCTTTGATCCATTTAGATTTTAATTTAGTACATGGTGATAGGCATGGGTCGAGTTTAGTTTTCAGCATATGAAGAGCCAGTTTTTCCAACACCATTTAATAAAGAGACTGTCATTCTTCCAGTGAAAATATTTGGACCCTTTATCAAACATAAGATGGTTGAGTGTGTTTGTAGTTGTGGTTGTATCTTCTAAGCTGTTCCATTGATCTTTGGCTCTGTTTTTATTTCAGTACCATGCTGATTTTACTACAGTTGCTTGCAGATTAACTTCAAGTCAGGGATTGTGATGCTTCCTGCCTTGCTTTTGCTGCTTAGAACTATCTTTGTTATGCTAGGTCTCTTCTGACTTCAGATGAATTTTAGGATTGATTTCTCAAGATCTATGAGGTATGTTGATGGTACTTTTATTGCAATTGCATCGACTCTGTATCAGGGTTTTGGGAGAATGGCCATTTTCACAGTATTTATTCTTCCTATCCACGAGCAAGGGATGTCTTTCCATTTTCTGACTTTGTCATCAATTTCTTTTTTCAGTGTATTATAATTTTCCCTGAATAGGTCTTTCACTTCTTTTGGTAGAGTAATTCCTAAATATTACATTTTTTTGCTGCTAGTGTGAAGGGTGTGGCTTCGCTTATTTCTCTGTCAGTGATTTTGTTGTTAGTGTATAGGAATGCTAATGATTTTTGAGTATTAATTTTGTATCCAGCTACATTACTGAATTTATTTATTATATCTAACAGTCTTTCAATGTAGTTTTGGCAGTCTTCTATGTAGAGTATCATGTCATCTCCAAACAATGATAATTTAACTTCTTATCTTTACACCTTTTATTTCTCTCTCTTGTCTAATTGCTCTGGCTATTATTTACAGTGATATATTAAATAGGAGCGCAGATAAGAGATATCCTTGTCTTGTGCCTGATTTTAAAGAAAACATCTTCAGTTTTTGGCCATTTAGTATGATACTGGCTATTGGTTTGTCATAGATGGCCTTTATTATATTGAGGTAAAGACCATCTATTCCAATTTTCTGTAAAGTTCTTATCATAAATGAATGTTGGACCTTATCAAAGACTTTTTCTGCATCTATAGAAATGATCATGTGATTCTTACCTTTGGATTTATTGATATGGTAGATTACATTTATTGATTTATGTATCTTGAACCATCCCTGCATGCCTGGGATGAATTCCACTTGGTCATGGTGTATAATCTTCTTAATGATTTGCTGCAACCTTTGCCAATATTTTATTGAGGGTTTTTGCATCTGTGTTCTTAGGGAGATTGATATGGAGTTCTCTTTTTTATTTGAGTGTTTCTCAGATTTTGGTACTGGAGTAATATTTGCTTCCAAGAATGTGACATAGAAACCATTGCATCCCTTTCAATTTCATTGAAGAGTTTGAGGTGTGTCGGTATTAAGTCTTCTTTGTATTTCTTGTTGAATTCTGCAGTGAATGCATCAGGACCTGAGCTCTTCTTTGTAGGTAAGGACTTAACTACATTTTCAATTTCATTGATATAAATTAAGATTTTCAGCAGTTTTACATCTTCTTGACCTAGCTTTGGTACTTCATATGTTTCTAGGAATCTGTCTCTTTCTTCTGTGTTATCAAACCTTTGAGAGTGGAGGTTTTCAAAACAGGTGTTGATGATCTTTTGTATT